TTTGTGCATGCGCCGCTCAGAAGTGACGAACGCGGAAGCGCAGGGGAGAGATCAAAACAAAACACTTATTAAATCACTTATTAGAAGTACAAAACTAGGATTTGTAAAGAAGAATGTCTGAGGATTTTGATATAAGCCAAGAGGAGACTGGTTTTCCTTTGCTAAAGTAAGGAAACTTTGCTTCCTTTGAATTTTCATTTTTGGGTGAACTAACCCTTTAAGCTAATAATGATCTTTAGATATGTTGTGTCACGTTTTGTCTCTGTTTGCTTGTGCAGTTTAAGTCAAGCCCACGGTGTGTAAAGTGTCTGCTAATATGCCGCACATTAAGTGTAGAGTTAAGCAATAAGTCTGCTCCCATATCCGTAAATGGTTTTTATAAATCATTTGCTTGTACAGAATGCAGGGTAAAGCGGTATGTATATGAATTCTACTCACATACCCTGTACATATAGATAAGCATATTGAATCAGCTGTTACCATTATTTTTCAGAAAACATTCAATTGTTTTGTACATCAGTAAATATTAAATTTCAACTTTAAAGCTTTCGGTTTTATGCAACTCATTTTTTGTGGTAAATACTGTGTTGTATAGTTATGCTGGAATATTTTTTTTTTTTAAACCTTTAAGTATTTTTGTCTTGTTTTCCGGTAAAATATAGAAACACCCTCAAATAAAATGTACCCATAAAGTAAATTAGAAATTATTTCATTTTTCTTACATAAATGTTAGGGATGATATTTTTACTGGAAAACCTGACAAAATTACTCAAGAAAATGTGTTTTTGCAGAAGACGCAGTGAAATATATGAATATACACATAACTTTAATGCAATCATAATTCTCACATTTGACCTCGAGACATTTTCTGTACAAACAATTTTAAAAAACTTTTTTGTGGGGGGATTCACACATTCACATCAATGAACATCATGACATTACCAGTCCATATTGAGAATAATGATGACATAACGTGGTTGGTTATGAATTGAACACTGCCCTTCCCCATGCTTCTGCAATGAATGAATGCGGTTTGGAAAGGCAACATATTCTTTCTGTCAACTGTTTTACTGTAGCTGCATGTCAAGGTTGTATTAATTGGTAGCGTCAAAAAAACCTGTTCATTCAGCAGCCAATCACAAATCAAATATCTACTGAAGTGCAGATGGGAGGGAAAAAATGGCAGAATGGAAAGAAAAAACATGGTTGAGGATTCTCACTCAGTTTGGTATAGAAGCCCATTTCTGCCACAAAAGAAAACAAAATCATGCTTTGGCAATCATGACATAAAATGTAATGATTATGGTGTGAGATTATGAGATAAAAAGACAAAATTATGACAGAAAAATTTTACTTAATCTCAAATGACTTCTTTTCTTGTAATTATGTCTCTGTCAAATTCAACTTTTCATCTCATAAATGACATCACAATTATGAATTTTTACCCAATAATTTAGACTTTTTTTGTCTATTTTAATTTAGTAAGTCAGTTTGAACTTTTATATTGCAATTTTGACTTTTCATGAATGATCTTCAACTTAGAATATCATAATTATTTTTTTTTATTTCAGAATTTTGACTTCATTTCATAACTTTTTGTCATAATTATTACTATTTCAAAGGTATGACTGTCATAATTTATACTTTTCATTGTATAAATGACCACTTATGACAACACATTGTTATAATTTCGACTTTTATGTAATGATTATGACATTTTTATGTCATGATGAAATACCAAAGCATGATTTTTTTTTCTTATGTGTCGGAAATGGGCTTCCATAGTTTGGTAATATACATCACACAGTGATCATAATAACAGGCACATTCTATTCATAGTCACAACGCTCCATCAAAGCAGAACCCTCCTGCACCGCAACCTTTCTGGAGCAAGCCGAGACACACAAGCACTTGCAGCGTGACATCTAAACCCAGACAAACTGAACAACTGGGCTTTTTCTGTCCCTCACGATCCTAAAGAATTAACATGAGCATTACGTCACATTTGAACAGTCACAAAAGGAAAAGCTCACAGAGATATTCCAGTCTCTTGATGTGTCGTCACAGATACGCGACAAACAGCAAGGCTGCTGAATACACCGAGATCGCAGGTAATGAGCATCACGTCATCAGAATGTCACTCTCATCCTACTCGCCACTGGAATGAGGAAACAGTGCTGTGGTTTCTTGGATGCTCATTTCAAATGAAGAACATGTAGATCAAGAGGAAGCAGGGATAGAGAGGAAGAGATTAGAGGAGTAGTTCTCTCAAAAATGGAAATCCTGTCTTCAGTTACTCGATCTTTGTATCCACTGTGAAACACTGAAGTTGTGATGAATGTTCATGCTGCTCTTTTCCTTACAATGGAAGTTTATAGGCTACCTGAGATGAAAAGGAATGAATGAAAGTGAAACTTTAAATAAGCACCATTAAAGTATCATAAGTGGTCCACATGACTTATGCACTATATTTTTAGTGTTCTGAAGTCATACTATCAATTTGTTTGGCTAAAATTTCATCATCATTCTTGCTTGAGAGCCATTCACTTTCACTGTTTGGAAAAGAGCAGCTTGCATCAGGGTTATTATCGTTAACTAAAACTAAAAACTTGCTTGAAATAAAATCATTACTTGAAATAAACATTAACTGAAACAAAAGTTTCAGTATAAGTAACAGTCTATAAAAGTTACTTATTTTATTTCTAGTTGCCAAGGCAAGATTTCTAATTTTCATTCATTTTAGTCAAAACTTGGTTAAAATTGAGTCAGAAGTTTAAGTAAAAACATAACTAAAATTAAATAAAACTTAAAAACTACATGTACATATTAAAAAAAAAAAAAGTATAATAATGACAAACAACAAAATTAATAAAAACCTAAACATTTAAATATAAAAAAAATCGAAACTATTAACAAAATTATAATAGTATATCAATGATACTAAAATAACACTGGTTTGCACATTTTAGTATCAAAGAGATACTATTATACTGTTATACTGTTAAGTTTTTATTCATATTTTGAATCAGTTTTTATTTAAAATTTTCCATTTTCATTTTAGCTAAATTTGTAATATTTTTGTAGGGGTTTTTTTTTTTTAAGTTTTTCATTTTTATTGTTGTCTATAGTTTTTATTAATTTTTACATCATTTTATATTTTTCGTTTTTTTTAGTACATCAAGGTAAACTAAACTAAAATGAGAAATTATTATTTCAGTTAACATTTATCTCAAGTTGATCAACTATGGTTTTAACTTTAGCTTCAGTTTCAGTTAACTATAATAACCCTGATTCTGCCTAACATTATTTGTGTTCCACAGAAGAAGGAAAGTCAGATTTTGACAGACAAGAGCAAGTGAAAATGGTGACAGAATTTTCATTTCTAAATGAACTCTCCCTTTAAAATATGGAAAAGAAAAACAAGTCCATGTCTCGGAATGCATAACAGACTGGACAAACACTTCACAGAAGGGTTACTACAAAGGGACAGAGACAAAAGGGCGAGTGAGAACACAGCGTCGCTGCTTGGAACCTTCTTCCTGTTCTTCCTCCTCCCCCTCCTCATCAAAAGACACAGCTCCAGAGGTATCAGAGATGCTTCGGCAGTGTCTGTACCAGCAGATGACATCCTGAAAGACATTGTCCTCCCCTTCCTCCACCTCTCTTCCATCCTCCTCCTCTTCATCCTCAGGTGAAAGGCCAGACTCGGAGTAGGAGGTGGAGTAGTAGCAGGAGTCTCCCTTGCTCCACAAAGGCCTGCGGTCTGGTTTGTGAACCGCACAAGTGGACCTGTCGCCTTCTGAAAGCTGGAGTTCTTGGGCATGTGGTGGCACTTCTTCTGAAATGAGCGGGTCGTCGGCTTCTGATTGACTGAGTGTGCCGTCAGAGCAAGGGATTTCAGCGGTGTCTGTCTTAGCCTGACTTGGCACTGGGCAGCTTTGATTGGATAATACAGCGTCTGAGGGAGAAGCAAAGTGTAAGAATACCTATAGATACAGGCACGAGAGGGCAGAAGTGGAATAGTGATGATACGCGGGGCAACTTTTTTGAGGGATGTTACTTGGGCACTTTCCCATTGAGAATGGGTAACAAATGTCTATCTGGATACTTTAGATCAGTCATGAGCAGAGATGCACCGATCGATCGGCCAGGGATCAGAATCGGCCGATTTTCCTCATGATCGGCCCGGATCGGTGATCGGTCGGTCAGTCTCACTTCTTTCCTGTCATGTTAATCAAAGAACAAAAGACAAAGAAAATCATTTTCTGCTTAAGACTGAATAAGTTTTATAACTTTAATGGTAAGTAGGGATGGGCGATATCTTATCGTTTGCGATATACCGGTAAAAATTCTCCACACGATAAGAATTCGTCTTCGTTTTGCTAATAAACATTCTATGTTTCGTATTTATTTGGTTATATATTATACATGTTTACTTATTTCCAGTTTTGTATACCTATTAAACTTTATGTAAGTTATTCGTTATTTTATATTAGGCATAGCTTGCCCTATAGCATGGTGTATTTTTATTTGTTTTGTTAATAAAAGTTCTATGTTTTAAATATAGGCTAAAGTGAGTTTGACGTTGTATTTTGTTGTTGCATTCAAGCAATTGACGCCGAACTGCCGCTAATTCG